GATTCACTTATATGAATGCACTTCTTAAATCTTATTTGTGATAAAGACAAAATTATAATATACGTACTTTAATTTGTATTTACTCAAATTTGTCACATATAAAAAATTCTCACTTTGTTCTTGTTCAATTCAAATGTAGTCTATAATTGAGCTAGTAGCAATATGAAGACATTTACATATGATCATGATTTGAATATGTATATTTTTTTGACAACAGCATGATCATAATAGTACGACCACAACAATATTAATGCAAATATGCAATAGATATGTATCACATTTAAATTCATGACTAAATACTTGTGCAAAGATATTTGGTGTGAAGTTGTGAATGTGATTTTGATATTATTAAAGTATTCAATATACTTTTGTGTATATCATAAATAAATGCAAAGTGTTTTCATTTTAGATGTCAACTATCTGAGTTGATAATATTTTGTATTATTATACTATTATCGTATCTCATCGACATTATTATTCTCGATATATGTGGAAGAAAAGTAATTTCTAATTATCAAGAAATACCTATCTGATAGGGTCATGTAGACAAAGCTTGCAGTTAGATAATTAAGATGTAGGTCATCCATAATTAAACATGTAATAATGTGTTACATCAGGCAATATGTCAGGCATGGTCACGACCATCGTTAAAAAAGAGGAAAGTCCACAATACAAGTAATTCATGTCCCAATTGGCGGAATTATTTTTGTATCTTTTGCTTTTGTTGTTTTTTCTCATTTTCTATTCATGAGTGCCTCTTGCCTCATAATTGGATTATATGTTTGGTAGAAGACATGGAATTAGCTAGTCATACATAACATAGCCTATTTGTGTAGATTTTTGTAGAATCGCGTTCGGTTTAGGGTCTATTGAAAAGGTAAGAAAATTGACAAATTGGAAGGTCAAATATGATCGATTTTAGGTGCGTGCATGATCGATGTAAGATATGTGAAAATATGAAGAAAAAAAAATATATATATAAATACAAAAGGAGTATGAGACGAGATTTTCAGATATAGTTTTTTTTTTTTTTTTTTTTTTTTTTTTTTTTTTTTTTTGTAAGAGAAGATATAGTTAGTTAGTTAATTTGACTAAGAGGTAAAATTCGGAGTACATGGTTGTTCAAAGTTTATGAACAAAATTCTTTTTATCTCTTGAAAATGTCATTCAATATCAGAATTTTCACGTTTGTCAAATTTACCTCTTAGTTAGTTTGTCAAATTCGGAGTACATGATTGTTCAAAGTTAATATGACAAACGTGAAAATGTCATTCAATATCAGAATTACAACCATGATATGGTTATTATTATACGCTCTATGTTTTATCGACAATATATCTATAAATTTTCATTTGTAACACTAATTGATTTTCTCAATTGTAGAATGAATAATTGAACATTTGTAACACTAATTGATTTTCTCAATTGTAGAATGAATAATTGAACATAGAATGAGGATTATATAAATAAAATAAATTCCATGAATGTGCATGAAAGAACTTTGTAGAATTTATAATACATATAAATAATTAAAAAGAAACCAATTGAATCAAACTTAATATTTTCAATAGCATAGTGGATTAGTGGGATCTAAGATTCAATGAATCATGGCCTTTTTTGTTTAGAGCTAGGAAGGTAGTGTTGGGGGACAATTTAATTTTGATTTCCGATTCATATGTTATTGTATTAATTATAATATACCCACTACTTCTGAGTCCTAAGTACGATGCATTGATAACATAAGTACATCAGGGTATTATAAAAGAGACATGCATTACCGTTCTTCTAGATCTTTAACACGAGCTAAGAAACATTATTCATATTGAACATGATAATTTCTTAGTCATCAACTTTGTCAAAGACATATGGCCATATGCTCAGTTTCATGGTTGATCAAACATATCAATAGAGACATCTTCTCCCTTCTCTGCAAGTTAGTTTTAATAACATTCCCCATATTTATCTAAAGGCAAATTAGGCATTGGATTGAATAGCTAATAATACGAAGTATTGTTTTTCATAACAACACTTCTTTATTTCTCATTATACTTTCTTACGATGCATTATTTATTTCTCATTATCCGATCCTTTCTTATGATGCATTATAAATTAGGAATTCCTCGAGGTTAGAGTTTTCTAGTGTTTTCCTTTTTCTAAATTACCTTTGTACGTACAAAAGCAAAGGAAAAAGATCGAAAAAAAAAAACACAAATAGACTTTATTAATTTACTTTTGTTTAATATGTAGATCTAGGACTTAATCAGTTAATATCTTCACTTTATCCCTACCTGTTAAAATATTTGAAATAACTCTTATAAATAGTGTTGGACAATTATACCGTCAAAAATGTTTATTACCTTATTTGCTCTCATTAATGTTAATTCTCTAAGTTTGAGATAACTCTCATGAATAGTGTTTGGACGATTATATCTTCTTGAATGTTTATTTTTTTTTATTTTTTTTAAGGGAAAGATTAAATATCATTAATTGAAAGCCATATGACATCTACAATAAGCATTATAGAAAAGTAAAATACAATCTAAATTAATCAAGTAAAAATCCTCTTTAAAGAAACTATGATGATGAGAAACTAGATCTGACGATAAAGCACAGTCTCCGATTGTTCGCTGAATTATGTAGCCTTCTATGAGGGAGTCCATCTTCTTGACATAGTTTTGGGAAGAAAATTCATTACTTGACCATGTCGATCGAATCCTCAATTCCAACGCCAATTGCAAAATTGTACAAATAACAATCCATGAATCCAACCTTTCAGATAAAACCTTAAAAATAAATTTCAAAGGAGAGAACAAACCCAAAAATTGGGAAGAAAACTCTCATAAAGAGAGAGTAAGGAGGATTATTAATGACTAAAAAACAAAAAACAAAGGAAATAAAGAAAGAAATGGGGCTTACCATCATCAAAGAGATGATGACGGTAGCCCCTTGTGGCTGCCAAAGATTTTAGGGTTTTTTTTTCAGAGAGGAAGAGGCGAGAGAAAGTTTTTTCTTAAATGTTTATTTATTTGCCATGATTAATGTTAATTGTTTTTATTTTTTATTTTTTATTTTTAAAACCCTTAAGAATAATGTGAAGACATTTATATCCCTAATAATATTTGTTTATATATTTCACCTCATTAATATTGCCAACAATTAAAGTTGCAACATAAGACCAAATCGAAAGAGCTCCTAGACATGGCTAGCTATGGCGCGCGCATCAATTGAAGAGAGTGTTACATTATATTATATTGTTATTATATGCAGAAAATAGAGCCTTGCGTAGTGTTCTACTGCATGCTCTTAAATTATAATTAAGTTTTCTTCTCAAATATGAGATTAAAAGCTCCAATGCTATATCAAATAAATCAACTCGTCTTGTGTGCGCCATGTGATCGATTGTAAAATAACAAAGTAATCCCTGTAACACTGATCGAGTAATCCCTGTAACACTGACCAATTAATCCCTATACTACTGACAAAGTAATTCCTGTAACATTGATCGAGTAACTCCTATAATGCTAATGAAGTAACCTCCATTATGGTTGGCCACACGTTGTGACTAGCCACATATAAAAACTTGTGCAAATAAATGACCTAAACTTAATTCATCTTATCAAAACTAATTGACCCTAAATCGAGTTAACATGAGGTGAAGGGAATACAACCTTGATCAAGGGAGGAGCCCAATTTGTACTACTCCATATAAAAGTATAAATGGGTGGACAAACTTTCTACCTTGGGTCCTGCACTACTTGAAATAAGTCCATAAGCACAGCCCAAAATTTTTCTTCCTTGGTGGACAGCAGGCTAAATGGACCTTCATCCAGAACTATTAGGAGAAAAGGAGGATCCATTTACATAAAAGGCTCTACAACAACAATATTATAATAGCAAAACAATGAACCTTTTGCTTACAAGTATTTAGCTATTTATGAAGTACTCCATTTGTCATTTTTAATGTTTACGCATTTACCATTTTTCACTTATTATAAAATTTCAAATGTAAAGATTAATAAGTGACGGAAGGAAGTATTTACTTACTATCTTATTGGTAACTATCTCTTTGGTGCTTTTCAAGTTAGTCCAACACATATGAATAATACGGAGTAGGCAGCAAGACAATCAATATGAAGATATTATTAAAGTGTCTAGACAATGATTTGATTGGCAGTTTGTCACCATAATTTGGTTAATTGATAATTGATGGATGAATTGATGGCATTCATAGTTTCAACATTTCAAATTGAATATGTAAATTTATATTGAATCTTCTTGTTCAAATGATTTAATTATGAAGGAAATTCTTATTTAATACAATATATTATGAATTATTTATTTCAAATTTATTTTATAGATGTCGTAAAACTTGTTAATAATCGGACCAACCATCATGGCCTGAGCAACCTCTTCTAAGGAGTTTGGGATAGCAATTGAAATGGGCCTAGATTCCAAGCCAATAGGAGGACCAAACGGCATCATAGTCTGCAATTGCATGAGTACATAACAAATACAATTGACTTTTGTATTAGTGACTGTCTTTGTCATTTACTTTAGGCCTGCAAGGAGTAATAGGTTGCATGACTTCTACAAAAAAAAATTTCTTTGGTAAAATATGACTTTAATAATGTTAGTGTAGTCTCACCAAGTCACAATTTTGAATTGATTGGCAGTTTGACACCATAATTTGTTATTCTCAGATTGTAGATGATAGCAAATAGACGAAATAGTAATTGCCAATTAGTAACTCCATGACAAGAGTTAAGATGAGCAACAATTTCATATTGGTACGAAAATCACTCAAATCTCGAAAATTACAATCAATTAATTTGAAATAGATTGTATTGCCAATTCCAATTAAAACCATTGATAGATGCTAACCATTGAAATAGTAAACTTAACCAATACTTTAATCCGCGTAAAATTGTGTTTGTATTTCTTTCTTAATTGTATAGTTCATATATGCTAATCATCTTACTCGAAACCAATCTAACAATAACTTGAAAAAACTCTCATAAGACCCAACATAATCATGTATAATGTATAAATCCATCATTAAAAATGGCCAAAAGAATCATCAATTACAAACTTGCCTCAAACTAAGAAGCACAAAAATCCCCTCCAAAAACCCCCTTTTCAAAAATTCAAAAAAACTGAAGTTCTTGATGAAGCAAAAACTCAGCTTCATCCATCAACTCAGGACTTAATCTAAACATCAAAACACAAAATTCCATCTGATTAAGCGCGCCATCGCCATCGCAATCGCCTTCACGTAACATACTTCTTAAATCATCATCCGTAAGATCCTGCAACCCCAAAATAGCTGCGTTCTTCTTTAAACTATCAAATGTAATAACCCCTTTATCATTATCTATTAACAATTCAAACCCTTTACATAATTCTCCAATTAAGCCTTCTCCTCCTAGCTTTTCCGCCATTAATGGGAGTTGATCTTGGAATACTTGTTGTTGCTCGTTCTTCTTTGAAGACGCCATCTTTGTTCGTTGTAAAACTCGGAAACCTTGATTAGAAGATTAGTTTTTCTTGGGTTTGTTTCGGATTTTTGTTGCGATTATTGAGTTGGATGAAGAGAGAAGGGGATAAATAATGGGAAAGTAAGGAAGGAAAGGGAAAGAAGAAGGGAGTTGCGGAGAAAGAGACATGGGGTGTGAAATGAGTATGTGTATGTACCGTGTAAATGGTATCAGTATTTGTTTAACAGGTCGGCCGAATTTCAGTAACCGCTACTCTGTTTCGGGGAAGCTATTTCAAGGGCATTTTTGTCTTTTCCTTTAGGAAACTTCACATTTTTGTCTTTTAGGTTTCCCTTCGCAGTATTCCCACCGTTTTTAAATAAATGAAATGTTTTGACTTTTACGAAGTTTTGTTAGTTGAATTTATTAAAATAATAGGTAGTTGGGTATAAGTTTGAAGTGAAAGAAGAGAAGTTTTGTGAGGACCATTAGTTATTAGAATATCATTAAAAAATAGAGAGAACATTATTAAAAAATATAGAGAAATTACTAAAAAAGAAAACATTTTATTTATTTAAACACGGCCGTAAAAGAAAAACATTTCATTTATTTAAATACGGATGGAGTATTTTTTATTTTTTCCTCGGAAAATATGCTAAAATTACCTTTTAACTTTTGAAGTCAATGTCAAAAATTGTAAAGGCCTTCGCAAGAATTTTTTTATTTTTTAGTGTTTAGAGAGCCATAAGGACATGTGATGAGAATCGATTCTAAGGTCTCTTGGAAGGAGGAGAGCTCTAACCACTTGAGTTATCCCTCACTCTCAACCTTCGCAAGAATATTATGAATAAGGTCTCTTACAAGTTTTTTTTTCCCTTTATTATTAAAAGGTGATTCATAAAAAAAAAAACTCAATTTTCCTACCTTATTTGTCCACATTTAATTTTTTTTTGCTTCCTTAAAAAATAAAAAAAAGATTGTGTGATAGATAATAAAAGTAACAATGTTATTCAATATTAAAATCATATTCTATTCACCTAAACATTTTAATAATATCCAGTAAGTTCAATCAAATAAGAGTTACTCCAAATTTAATTAGGGCGTTAAGGCAGAACAAGTACTGAAATTAAAATATAGACATTTGTCCCTTGAGGATTCTTCATTGAACTTTTGGTGGTTTAATAGACTCAACTTTAAATGATAAAATCTTTAATTAGTTACATATTTGTAACAAATATATACTCGAATTTAGCAAGATATCATAAATCTACATTTCTAATCATAGCTAGTAGTGTTTTGAAGTTATTTTGAGAATTTCCTCAAAAAAAAAAAAAAAAAGAGAAGAAGTTATTGTGTGAATTTGAAATATTTTATTGCAATATATACCAAGAGAATAATATATTTGTATTAATCATCAGCTAAATAAGTTCATAAACCTAGGAAAAATTGATAATTAGGTCAAGTTATCATTTTGTGGAAACATTCTTAGGAAAAGTTCTAAAGTAGACTTCTGACTTTTAATGAGGAGTAATAGATTGATTGAGAAAAAATTGAAACTTATGGTCAAATTATCATTTTGTGGAATCATTCTTAGGTAATTTCTAGTTTCGACTTATAATGGTGGATAACCAATTTAGCATTACTTTAACTTCAATTTAGAAAATTTATATCCAAGGGCAAAAATGTAATATACACGAAGGAAATTTCATGTAGGTTCATTTGCTTTTGTTTGGAGGTAGCATATACTTTCTAAAATGAATAATAATTCATGCACGTAGTTTCCCATGTTTGTTTACTTTAGGAGTTGAAGTAGCTAGACCTAGACAATTAAATTAATTATATTAAGGAAATTGTGAGGAAACAAGTTTAGAAAAGTAAGGAAAGTGACAATTAAGAGGATAATTTTCCATTTGCTTAATACGTGGCAATTGGTGATTGGTGAACGAGTTTGTGACAGGCCAAACTAGAGTGTGGACAAGCCGATCGATAATCTTACTAAGATATGGTTGTCCACAATTCTTCCTTTACATTGTTTTACAAATTTATAAATGAGTGCGAGTATATTATATCATTATTCCCTTAAATTATTTCAATATTCGTAGAAATGATTCCAATTTCCAAACCCCTTTGTTTGGAAATCCAAAAAAATTGGAATTAAAATTGAGTTGATATACCCAATATCATATTGAAAAGGTCCACATTGGATTAATATACCATAGTTATAGTTAAGATATGCTACATATTACATGCTTTACTTAGCTTGTATGGGATTTTTTTTTTTTTTTTTTTTTTTTTTGTTGTTGTTTAGAGAGCCACAAGGGCGGAGAAGAGAATCGATCCCAGGATCCACTGAAAATCAAGAGAGAGCTCTAACCACTTGAACTATCCCTCACTCTCACAACCTATGTGATTAATAAATTAACATGAATATCAATTTTTTATCCTTTCCCTCATATAATCATAATATCACTACTTCCTACACCTTAATTAATAGTATTTTTTTTTTTTTTTTTTATGTTACTTGTACGTAAATCGCCAATAAATTTTGATTATGTTACTTATAATAGCATAATCCAAAAAAATTTTAGCACTAATTTATTTATCAAGGAAAAGTTGACAAAGGAAAAAATCGTCATTCGTAAAGGAAATTTCATAATATACGGTTTTATGTTTCTGTTGTGACCTTTCATAGAATGTACTTTTAAAATTGAATAATAAAATTGTAAAATTCATTTGTTTCCTTGTGATAATGGCATTGGCAGAGTATTATTTAAGGAAATGGAGATGAAAGTCTAAAGAAGTTCGGGGAAAGAAATGACAAATGATTGAGGATAATTGCTTATAAATTAGGAAAAGGGAAGGAAGTCCATTCATAATACCTGCCTGTAAATGAAAATTTGTTAGGTGGAAATTAACGTGGCATATTTTCATTGGCTTATTTGTTTGTGACAAGCCAAATGATGAGATTATTATTTGACAATTGCTTGCAAATTTCTTCATCCATACTTATCTTCTAGTCTTCTACTCCCTCCATCTACCTTTATTTTTTAATAAATAATTACAGCACTATTTTATTAGATATCTTTAATGTTTGATTATATATTTCAATAAAAATCATTAATTAATTTTAAAAATAATACATATTGATATCAACCCATATATAACAATTAAAAAAAGATATGTACAGTTACATATTAGTGATTAAAAATGGTCAAAGTTAGTACGGGAATAGTGTAAAAATTCAATATGATACAATTATTGTGAAATAGATTAAATATTTAATATTGACAATCTAAAGTTAGCTAAGAATGAGGAATAGCTTAAGTGGTTAGAGTTCCTCTACCGGTTTCAGGTGATCTTGGGATCGATTTTTATCACTTGTCCTTATGGCTCTTTTAACACAAAAAAAAAAAAAAAAAAAAAAAAAAAAAACAATCTAAAGTTGGCTAATCTTCATACAAAATGACCTCCAATTGGCAATAGATATATACGTGTTGACAACAAATTATATCGCAAGATCTCATAAGTCTCTTAGATTAATACAAGAGAAAGTGAACCTATTTACATGCAATGATGCAAGTATAAATTCGAAGGAGAGGGATTCTTAGGCAGTCCCTGAGGTGGCCGTGGTCCTCTAGCTAGGTTTCGTCCTAAACCACCACAAATAGAGCTTGTAGGAGAGGCGCAAATGGACAACATGTTTAGCGACAACATCTACAAGGGCTACAAGTCTACAACCATACAAGCGCATAATCGCTCATAATTTTTGTATGTGTTTGCTGTGCGTGGGACGAGAGTTTAAGACGACACAAGTGACACATGACAACACATGTACTAGTATGTTATGTTGTGTAATATGTTAGAATAATTTTGATATATATTTTTCAAATATCTTTTTACAGTAATTCACTGTGTGGTGGGAAGAAAAAAGAAAGCAATGTGGGTAACTTTTGTGACACTATAGGTAATTTTTGATAGTTTATGTGTATATTTTGATATTTTAAGAGTAATTCAGTGGGAATAAAAGTAAATGGGTAATACAAGTAACTTCTGATAGTTTAAGGGTAAATTTGTGAGAATAAAATTAACTGGATGATAAGGGTACTTTTGTAATAATATGAGTAACTTTTGGTATACAATAACCGGATGTACATTAAGTTTATTATACACCCGATGCATGTAAAAACTTTTGTTTGGATATGAAATACTGACCCAAACCTTGATCCAAAACTTGAATGAATAAAAATGTATATGAATTGGTGTCCAAAAACAAAAACAAAAACAAAAAAAAAAAAAAAAAAAAAAAAGTATATGAATAGGGCTTAATACGATATTAAACCGATACACAAAGTGATTTAAACCGATTTCACTCAAACCAAAACTTACCCGATATCTAAATTGATAATTGATTTATTTGAATTAAAAGTCAATTTAACTCAACTTGAAACAATCTATTTGAACCAAAATGACCCTATTTTGGTGAAAACTTAGGTTTAAAAAGTAATTTGCTAATTTTCAAATTTGAATCCGAATCCAAACCCGAACGGTCGGCCTGATATTGGGATATGCTGCCCAACCGCAATAGGGGAGATTCAAGGTGGGCTGTGGTGTTGAGTTGGGCGGCTGAGAGAGGAGTTTGAATGACGGGTTAGTGGAATAGTGGGTACACCCCTATCTGGGCTCATAGTGTCTGGGCTTGATCATAGGAGTATTCATCTAAGGGCTGGACTTGGTCATGCATGTGGACGAGTAGCAAACTAGCAAGTGGGCTTTGGCCGTTGGTATGCCACACAATTTTTTTATTAATAGTAAAAAAATGACCCAATCTAAAAGGGATTTTTTTTAGGAAATTAGGGCAGGCAATGCATGCGTTGCGCGCGGAATTGCTAGCCCTTTCGGCTTAATTTTATGCCTCAGATTGTAGCAGGGACCCCTTAAATACACCTCCAACAAGGACTTTTCGTTTTTTCTTGCACATCAGCCATATGTTTACATTTTTCTTGAGGAAACATTTATACAATTATTCAACATTGCAATATTGCGAAAATGTCTAAAAGCTTAAATAGGAAGAGACTCAATATTCGTCAAAAATCATAGGATACGTATTATATACTAATAGAAATTCAACATTGTAGATGTATATAATGGAAAAGTTTTCCTAAACACTTGTTATTTGCAACTATATACAGATAAGTACATCCAA